CTATGGTTTCTGCTTGACTTCCTGCCCTGACTTCCCTCAATGATGGACTGTGATCTGGAAGTATAGGCTAAAATAAACCCTTTCCCTTCCTAAGTTGCTTTTTATCACAACAATAGAAGGCAAACCAGAACACCTGGGCTGCATCTTGTCGTGGTAGATGCCAACACAGTGGCAGAGATGTGATCAGGAGCAAGACACTGTGTTACAACACAGGAAGCCAGAAAGCAGAGAGAAGTTAATCTTGCTTTTTTATAACAACCCTCTCATGAGAACTACCTTAATCCCTTCTATGACAGTATCTCCACTGACCTAATGACTTCCCAGTAGGCTCTACCTCTTAAAGGTGCCATGTTCTCTAAACATCACCACACTGGGGACCAAACATCCATACAAATCCTTTGGGGAAAAAAATCACAGAAACCATAGCAATGTCTCCTTCAAGTTATCCAGTCTCACTGTGGAATCTAGCTATAATTCTTAGAGCCCAGGAAATGGACAGCGGGTAAGGTTTGGGATCCAGCACCCTTTGCTCTGACAGACAGAAGAGAGAGGTTGATGCTAGACGGGCCATGCAGTCAGGGCAACAGAAGACATCTTGAATAATGGTTCATACAGCCCTGTGAGCATAGACTGGACCCCAGGGTCTACCCTGCCTCACTTGTAGTCCTGTGTCTGTATTTGCTGACATGGATAGATATGAGACCCTCCTAGACCTTGCTGGTGCAGGAAGAAGGGCTTGCTTGTGTTTACTAGGCATGTAGCAATCATGTCTTATGTTGTGGTCATGGCCAGACCTGTTTCCTTGGAGACAGCACCTGGATTTCCTCTGTTGAGTCAGTCCTTCTTTAATACTCAGCCTTGCTTCTCAAGGGCTTGACTGGTCCTTTGGCTGATGGGATGAGCCCATGACCCAGACCTCGGTCAACGAGGTCACAACACTCTAAAATGCAGGGATTGACCTTAGGCTAGATCAAGAGACCTACACTAGGTCATGGAGAACCAATGAGTGGCGTTTCAGAGGAGTTTGGCTGGACTCATAAGGATGGAGAGGTTCGCTTTGTAGATTAGAGTTTTGCTGGTGGGATTTTACCTTGACTTCAAGTGGGGAGAATCTAAGAGAGGACAGAAGAAGAAAGCAGACCAGTGAACTTGGATGCGACCTTGCTGGTAGTCATGGATGCCTGGTTTTTCTGTTCCTTGTTTGGGTGGGGTGTTGGCTTGTTTGGTGATATTGACCTTTGTTCCCAGAGACTACTGCACCATTTGGCTTTTGCTTCTCCAGGCTTGGCAGTGTTTGGGTGTTCCAGATGGCTGCTAGTATGTGTGTGTGCGTGTGTGTTGGAAGGGGTAGCCTTCCTGTGATACGGTCCCTCCAAGCACTGATCTTGCTGAGATATCTTGAGATTCCTTTTGGGGTGCCAAAAGCAATACCTCTGTTTTTATAAATTGTGAGAAGATTGTCATTCAAATTGCACTCTTCCACAAGATGCTGGGAACAAGATCTTATAGGTGGCAGATTATAGAAAATCAGTTGCCAAGAATATACTAGCACTTGCCTGGACACTGGCTCTGTCCCTTTTGTTACCATGAATGATGCTGTTACTAGGAATGGAGATTTTCTGCAGCACAACCTGATACTCAGGTGGCCCTTGATGCCTCTAGGAGGGAGACACCTCCTTCACAGACAAGACAGGATATGCCATCAACACGGGAGCTATGTTCTGCTGAATCGTCAGGTTTTGTCTATATTCTGAAATAACTTTACTTCTCTGCAAAATCCATCTTCTTAAAATAGAAACCCACCATGCACATTTCAGCTTCCTTTCCTCAACAGCATTATCTGTGGAACATCTTTTTGATGATAGTGGGTATGCATGCATCTATTTTTTGCTATGAAACTTTCAAATATGCACCAATAGTCTGAATTGTTCCCATCTCCTCATCTCTAGTCAACCATTATCAGCATTTTATCAGCTTGTTTTAGTGACCCCTCCAGCTTTCAAGAAACCTCAGTACGATTTGATTTGTCAACAATTCACTGTGTGGATTTACAAATAAAGATTTTTGTGAACATAATGATATCTTAAGATCAAACTCTTCACATCAAGCTTCTTTTATTGGGGGCTGGAAAGATGGTTCAGCGGTTAAGAACACTGACTATTCTTGCAAAAGACCTGGGTCCGATTCTCAGCATCCACATGGCATCTAATAACCATCTGTAACTCTGGTTCCAGGGAATCTGACACGTTCTGACCTCTGAGGGCATTGCATGACATAGTATACTTATACACATACAGGCAATGCACTCATACACATAAAAATAATGAATAAAATATTTTTAAAACTTCCTTTATTGTCTAAAAATAACTTTTTGTAAAGATTTATTTTATTTTTAATTATGTACATGTGAGTGCAGGTGGCCATGAAGGCCAGAACAGGACATCAGAACCCGTAGTGCTGGAATAACAAGTGGTTGTGAGCCACCCTATGTGGATGCTGGGAACTGAACTCTGGTCCTCTGTGAGAGCAGTGCATGTTCTTAACAACTGAGCCATCTCTCTGGCCCCTCAAATATATCCTTTTGTATTTTTTTTTGGTCTTTTTGAGACAGGGTCTCCCTGTAGCCCCAGTCAGCCTGGAGCTTGCTATGTAGACCAGGCTGACCTCAAACTCACAGAGATCCATCTGCCTCTGCCCCCCGAGTGCTGGGATTAAAGCCATGCCTGGCCCTTTTGTTTTCTTTTACTCTGGTACTAGAGATCAAACCTATGGCCTCACAACATCTTAGACATGAGGGGTCATGTATGTAATACCAGCACTCAGAGGGCAGAGATAGGAGAATTGATATGAGTTCATGGCCAGCCTTTGCTACATAGCAGTTCCAGGACATTCTGGGCTACAGAAAGAGACTCTGACTTAGAAAAAAAAAAGCAAATCAAAACAAATAGACCAGGAGTGGTGGCACCACCTTTAATTCCAGCATTGTGGAGGCAGAGGCAGGTGGATCTCTGTGAGATTGAGGCCAGCCTGGTCTAAGCAAGTTCCAGGCAAACCGGGGGCTACAGAGAGACCCTGTCTCAAAAAACTCAAACCAACCAACCAAACAAACAAACAAAGGGAGTTCTGTTGAGCTACAGTCTCAGCCATCGAAAACATATTTTTAGTTTATTTGTTAAATCAGGACACAAACAGCATTTATTCATAGCAGTGGAGGGCATATATCTGAGATTTAAAAAATACATAATCCATAAAAAAAATTCAGAACTTCTCTTATGTCATTTACTCTCCCTCACTGAGACAGTCTGATGGTAGAAAGTGTTTTCCCACTCTGTAAAGCCAGTGAATGTCTGCTTCCTGCCTGGCTCACCAACAGGCCCTGAAACTGTGAGTACCACGTGTTGCTGGAAAAGCAGAAGCTCTGGGGTCCAGAGCCAGCATCTGAAGAAGAGAGAGGGATGGAAAAGTCAGCATCGGCCAGAGGCAGCTGTGAGGGCGTGGAGAGAGCTGGCTGGTGCTAGAGTTGTCTGGACAGCAGCTAGCCCCTTACACCCTGTAGTATCAAGTACCCAAGTGCTTATCTTCCTTTGTCCTAAAACAAAGCTGGTAGGCCCTTTCACATATTGCCCCAGAAAGCATCAATGGGCACACCTTTCTCGAGGCAAATTTGACAATATGTATGAAAAATCTTAAAATATGGGACTGGAGAAATGACTCAGTAGTTAAGAGTACTGGTTGCTCTTGCAGAGGACCTGGGTTTAGTTCCCAGTACCCACATGGTGGCTAACGACCATCTGTAACTCCAGTTTCAGGGTATCTGAGCCCTCTTCTGACCTCCGTGGGCATAGCACCACAACATAGGTGCACTTACATACATGCAGGCAATACACTCATAAAATAAAAATAATGAAATATTTTTAATCTTAGAATATATATGCTCTGACACAGAGTATTTCCAATGAGATAATGAACAGCTGGGCAAAGTATATCCCATTTGTTTATCATGCTACTTAACAAACTTAGAAAACAGTCAACATCAAGCAGTATGGGACTGGTAGGTTGCACAAAGAATGGACCTTACAAGGAAATGCCCTATGTTCCTGGGACACGAGGTGACTGAACTGAGTATAATGTTTAGTAGAACAAAGAAGGATGCTATCGTATTGCATAATCAGCATTATGTTTGTGTTTTGTATCCAACAGCTTTACTTAGCACCCATTTACCATACAATTCACACATTCTAAGTGTACAAAATGGGACGTGTTTGTCAAAGGATGCAAAGCTCCACTGAGACAGAAGTAAGTTCTGGAGAGCTAACATACAGGATGGTGACTATAGTCAATAACACTTGAGAGCCAGGTGTGGTGGTGCACCCCTTTAATCCCAGTACTCGGGAGGCAAAGGCAGGTGGATCTCTGAGTTCGAGCCCACCCTGGTCTACATGGTGAGTTCTAGGCCTGATGGGGCTACAGGAGGACCCTGTCTCAAAAAGACAAAGAAACCTCAACTCCCCCAAAATACCAAACCTCAAACCCAAAAGCCAATAGTTATAAGGTGAATGGGCATGTTAACTGACTTGATTGTAATAATCACTTTATAATGTACACATCTCCCAAAATACTCAGCTGCACATCATAGATGTGTACAATTTTTCCTCATCAATTATGCCTCAATAAAGCTAAAACATAAAATGTTCAATTCAATGACTTTTAGTGTAACAGAATTGTGAAACCATCCTACAATCAACTTGGAAATGTGTTACTTTTCTCCTTGATGTGACAAAATACCCAACTTAAATAAGGAAGAGTTTACATTGGCTCACAGTTTTAAGTGATGAAGTCCATCATGGAGGGGAGGGCATGGAGTGGGGCAGGAGGCAGCTGGTCATATTGCATCCAGAGTTAGGAAGCAGAGAAAGCTGAATGCTAATGTTCAGCTCGTTTTCTCCTTTCTACTCAGTCTAGGACCCTAGTTCATTGGATGGTGCCATCAACATTCAGGGTGGGTCTTCCCTCCTCAGCTAAACCTCTCCAGAAACACCTGTGCAGAAGTGTGTCTCCTAGGTGATTCCAAGTCTAGTGAAGTTGCAGTGAAGATTAGCCTTCATGGAACACTTTCACCAACCCCTGCAAAACAAAACAGAACAAAGCTAAATGAAGCAAAGAAGCAAGAGATTACAAGCTTCTGAATATGAAGAGAGCAGCTTCTTGCTCCTGGTACTCCTGGAGGCAGGGAGACTGGCTTGTGCCTGTGAGGGGTAGTATGATCCTCCTACAAAGTAGGGGGGGTGCAGGCCTATGATTCAGGCTCCCTAAAGAGCCTTGAGGCCTAGGAGCTGGAGATGAATGTGAAAACCCACAGGCAGATTAGATTCCCAAGTCTTAAATCCCTCACGGGCTCATTGGAGGGATGTTGCCATGGAGATATCATGGTCCAGGTTTCCCTTCCCATCCCCAGCTCTTCTTCGATGGCCTTTGTGCCTCCTGCACCCCACAACCTGCTAATCAAGAGTCATGGGCTTCCTGGTACCATCCAGTCTGACTGGTAATTAATATAGACACCCAATCCTCCCTCCCATTGACACTAAATGCACAGTCACATAGTAGTGATTAGGCATTCTGGGGGTGCTGGAGCCCAGCCAGTATCTGACTTTATGACAGGTGCTATCAATCTGTGGCTGCCTGTCAATAACTTGGGATGTGATTCTGTGTTCTCCAGATCCCTGTGACTTGGAGACCTCAGTGTCTCATGATGGTTGCCCTCTCTACATGCCCTCCTGCTCTAGGTCTTGTTGGCGCACAGGGCTCTCTCTGCCTTCTCTCGGCTTCTGTGCTTCTATTCTAACAGTCTCTAGTCCCAGGGAGCACTGACCTTTGGACCCTGCTCAGTTGTAAAGAAAGGAAAAGTACTATTCCAAGGGCCCCACCACTGTGCTCATGGTGCTATGACCCCTGTCTCCCAGTCTCTCACTTAGCCTGACTCTGGGTGGTCTTGGGACTTAGGCAGGTGCCCTCTTTAGCCAGTGATGGGGCCTATACAAAGCGAGTTCACTTCTCAAGTCATGGGTCTGTCCTGGAAGGTAGGGACTGGAGTTTAATCCTGAAACTGCCTGGAATGAGGTGAGTGGGTCTTCATAGAGAAAAAGGGAAGAGGCTGGAGGTACCAGTACGGAGAGTCCATCAAAGTCACAGAGTATCTGAGGGTCTTAGGTAGCTCAGGTCATGGGGGGCTGCAGAGGAAGGGACTGGTCTTCCCCATTGCTTTTCTTTCCCCAATAGTCAGTGCCTGGAGGAGGCAGAGGGATGTGTAACAACAGGAAAGGTGAGAATGAGGCCCTGTTCAGGAACTCCTCCTGTTCAGGAACTCCTCCCGCCCAAAGAAAGGACTCATTCATTCCTTGAGCACTCCTGGGCTGACCCTGTACCCAGAACCTGCACTGTTGCTGGAGGACCATGATGAACTGACCTCTGTCCTTGCCCTTGACAATTCATGTCAAGCTGGAAGGCACATGTAAAACTTACCTGTGCCACAAAGTACAACAGATAAAGAGGAATACGTGGAGGGAGTCTCACTGTGCCTACAAATAGACCCTGTGCCTAGCCTGAAAGTACACAATTAGGAGAAAACTCAAACTGGCACAAGTCAAAAAGACACTTGTTCATGCATCTGAAAAATTCAGGGTCTAGCTGCAGGTACAGCTGGACTCAGGTGCTCAAATAATGAAGACCTCTCTTTCAGTCTTTTAGCCCTGCTTTGTTTTTCTGGTTTTTGTTTTCCTGTCTTGACTTCTGGTCAGCTTTCTTTAGTTAATGGCCTCTGACAGCTCCAGGCTTATATCCTATTAATTGAGTCACTCTAGCAAACTTGGAGCATCCTTCCCTGGGATCTCCTTGTATGGTCCAGGGAATCATGTACCCTCTCACCAATCACTACCCATGACATGGTAGGTATGGGTTTTAGACCCAGTGTGAAGGAGGAGGTGGGGTGGAGAACTCGTAAAGTCAGAGATGCTATTACCAGACCAAAGACATAGCTAATGGGTTATAAAAGCTTTTTTCCCACCATAACTGGGTAGAGATTTGCTGGGGCCGTGGAAAGGCTATCTGGACAGGCAGAGGGAGGAAGAAGAGCAACGTGAAGAGCCAGGCCTGGAGGAGATACTCGGGTTGGGCTGGGAACTCCAGGACAGGAGCCTGAAGTATGCGGGTGGAAGAGGCAGTAGGCTGGACTAAAGTCCTGCTTCCTCTGTTGTTGCCCACTCAGTAGAAGTCTTTTTCTTAAGATTTATTTTATTTTTGGTTTTGTTTTTGTTTGTTTGTTTGTTTGTTTGTTTGAGAAAGAGTCTCATTATGTGGCACTGGCTGGCCTGGAACTTGCAGTGTAGACCATGATGGCCTCAAACTCAGAAATCTACCTGCCTCTGCCTCCAGAGTGCTGAAATTAAAAATGTTGACACCACACCAGGCTTTTATTTTTAATTATGTGTGCATATGTCTGTGTGAGGGTATGTGCACATGAGGGCAGGTACCCACAGAGGCCGGAAGGCAGTGTCAGATCCCTGGAATTGGAGTTACAGGTGGTTGTGAGTTGCCTGCCATGAGTGCTAAGATCCAAACTCAGGTCCTCTTCAACAGCAGTATGCACTCTGAACCACTGGAGCATCTCTCCAGCCACATCAGTGGAAATCTTTAAGCAGAAGTGATGCGATACGAATTTCATTTTAGAAAGATCTCTGGGGCAGTAAGAGGCTAGGTGGGTGGGCTTCCGTTGCAGGCTGGTGTGGATGGAAGGTGAGCTGAGAGAACCCTGGGACACAGCTCAAACAGGTCTCCAGAGCTGCAGGGTAGAAGGTAGAGGGAAAGAGAGGTAGCCTGATCCCCATGCATTCAGCTCTAGGGACCAACAGGAAAGCTACTTGCTACTTGCTACTTCAGAGTATACAATGACTGTGGTGCTGGTGGGTGGGGCAAGGCTCTGTGGGACCCCTGGTGGAAGGGGCTACAAGGCCATTGGCTATGATTCTGAAACTCAAAGAGGGCCCTTCTGGAGACAGCTCCAGGTTGGGAGGTGTGGATGTGAGGAGATGAGAGGAGAAAGGGAAAATGCTGAAGAAGCCACAACAGCGGGAACATCTAAGGTCTGGTGCCCAAGTTCACCATCTATAAAGTGAGACTGAAAAGGCTGAGCTCCCAGGCAGCTGTGGGGACAGATGGGAACCCAGGAAACACAGGGCAGATGCTCAGAGGACAGCAGCCAAGCAGACAGAGCAGGAGGGAGGTAAAGGTGGGCCCAAGAGCTACAGCTCAGGAAGTGGGGCAGCAATCTGAGGAGAAGGGTCAGCCCTTCTGAGGCCCAGGGTGAGCTACACTCAAGGGGCTCCCAGCAGAGACTGGAGGGTGGGGCTGGGACCAGAGGAAGGAAGCTTCACAGTGAAGCTCTGCTTTCAGGGGACATTGCCAAGGACAGCACAGAGACACCCTGTTGGCAGCATCCAGAACCCTAATTATTTTCTTCCAAAACACAGCTTGGAACTAAATGATCACTGGCCTCAGGACGGGTGTTGGCCACATGGCCTCTCTGTCACCCATCCCAGCTGAGAGAGATTTTTGGAGATTGCCTTGTCATCAGCAGATAAAGCAAACCAGCCGTGTGTTGCTTGTCTGAGGAGCGCGTGTAAACAAGGCAGACTGCAAGGTTTCTGAACCCATGTGCCACAGATGGAAAGGGGACCCAAGAGCCACACCACCTTGTGTGGAGGCACCTGGCAGGACAGGGACCCTGGACTTGAACAATGGCTGGTACAGACACAGGAGGAGCCTTCAGACAGGGTTGAGCTCTTGGGTTTAGAACAGGTTCCATCACCTCCAAGCTTACGCATGGTCCATCTCAGTTCAGGGTGTTTTTTCAGAGGGGCCAGGATGTAATGGGAAGTTGTGATTTATGATGTGCCTGCCTGCCTGTCTGTCTGGGAACCAGGAGGCCAGAGGATGGACAGGAACAACCTCAAATACTTTGCTCAGTGTGTGACCTAGATTTTCTAATGGCCAAGGGAGTAGATGGCACAAGAAATCACTTGTTTCTCTTCATGACCAAGTCCTTGCTATTCCCCAGCCTGGAGGGTTTCCCAGCTTTTGTCACCTTCTCCAAGAAGACTTCTCTGACTACCATGTGGAAAGAGCTTCCTAATGATTCTATGATCTTTCTGACCTCCACCACTCAGCCCCCTGCTCCCCAGCAGCCCCTCTGTGGATCAGGCCCAGGCCTTAGGCAAACTTTCACCTTCAGTTTTCACTTCCGGTTCCCTCTATGAGGACCCATGAGTGAGTGAGGCAGGGCACCTTGTTCACTGGGCAGCCCCGGAGGGTGGTCAAACAGTGGGTAGGTCCAGTCAGACAGAGTGGTCTGAGTGGTCTGCTGAGCAGAGGCAGTGAGGCGACTTCTCAGGGTGATTGCTCATCCCTAGTCACTCAGCCTCCTTACGACCCGCTGTGATGCTTCATCATCCTTGTCATCTTGACTGGATTTGGAATCACCATGTTAACACACCTCTGGGTGTGTATATGAGGGTGTTGTCAGAAAGGCTGTATTGAAGAGGAATGACCCACCCAGAATGTGGGTGGCACCATCCCATGGGCTGGGGTTCTGGACTAAATAAAATGGAGAAAGTGAGCTGAGCACAGCCATTTAGCTGTCTCAGCTTCCAGACTGAGGATACAATGAGACCAACTGCCTCACACTCCTGATTCCACGCTTTACCCACCGTGAAGGGGTGAACCCTCAAACTGTGAGCCAAAATAAACTCTTCCTCCTTTAAGTTGCCTTTGCCACAGCAATGAGACACTAAAAAGAGGCAAAGCTTGGGTCAGGGCTAAGAAGTGAATTCCCAGCAGGCACTTCTTCCAGAGAGCTACATTGCCTCTGCTGGTGGACTGCCAGCATGGTCCTCATGCCCAGAAGGCTCTCGTGGCAGGGAAGAAGAGCCTCTTGAAGCCTGCTGGATTAGGGTGTAAATCTCTGACCCTTAATTGTTAGTTGTGTTAGGATTCCTGATAGGGATACACCCTGTAGGAGAGCTATCTACACGGATGTCTGTCTTTATCACCTCTATCTATGTATCTCTATCTAG